AGAGTGGAGAGGGTTTGAGAAGTCTGAAAACAAAGTGTGAAGATGTTGTCCTGCAGGGAGAGGAGAGCCCACAGGAGAGGGTGTCTCTCATCTCTAGCACCCACTATGGGGCCCGGCACATAAGTGCCAACGAATGTGGAATGAACCAGTGTGACTGTCAACTTTCAGATGTGAGGGCTCTCCTCCTCCCTGGGGAATTGCGAAACGTCTGTCTTGACAAGGACGAGCATGAAGGGGGGGACAAATTCTGAGCTTCCCCAAAGACAATCTGCCCATCTGTTACGAGCCAGGCTCTGATGCCTGACCACTCCTCAGCTTAAGTTGGCTCATGAGAGATCATCAGTTTATGTGTGTGAATGAGTGAATGAATGACTGACTAATCTTCAAATACACAGAGCCCACAGGGGTCATGTGAAGGCCTATGGGAATCATGTTTAAATTCTGTGGTCAAGGCCATGGGACTCTGACTGGAGCTCTTCTCCACCAGACTTGGAAATGCCAGCTTTAGCTGGCTTTCATCTGAGGCCATGTTTTCATCTCTCACCTTCTCTGGACTTATTCCCTCTCCGTATGTCCAATGTGGGACCAGTTCTTGCCCTCCAAAGTTGAGGGATCCATACACTGGGGAAAGGGCCCCCACAAAGCCAGAAGTTCCTCTCCCCTGACCACACCCAGCTGGGCTGGGCTGGAGCCTCCAGGATTTCTAGGTCCTGAGCACCCCGTTCCCACACACACTCCTCTCAGCCCTGGGGGAAGCAGCTTATTTGTTTATCCTCCAGTGGGGCCATATATGGAGTGTGATCTGCCAGAGCCTTGTCTCTTCGGAAATGACTCACCCCCCTTGTTCCCCAGGCCAGCCCTAGCCCTAAGGGGTCTTCAGGGCTGGAACTGCAGGAGGTGCGGCCCAGGTGTCCTTGAATGTCCACCAGCTTTATGCCATGACCCCACAATCCCCCAAGATGACTTGGTCACCCCCCTGCTGCTCAGGAATCATGGGGCTGCCTTCAACCCCTGGCAGAACATGAATCACTTCACCTTCACCACCTTTACCACCACCTCACCCTGGGGAAGAAACGTTATTGCCATTAACTCTTGCTTATAGGGGCGCCTGGGTGGCTCAGTCGTTAAGCGTCTGCCTTCGGCTCAGGTCGTGATGCCAGGGTCCTGGGATCGAGCCCCGCGTCGGGCTCCCTGCTCCGCGGGAAGCCCGCTTCTCCCTCTCCCGCTCCCCCTGCTTGTGTTCCTTCTCTCGCTGTGTCTCTCTCTGTCAAATAAATAAAATCTTAAAAAAAAAAAAAACTCTTGCTTATAAGATGAGGAAATGGACAGAATTGGGGGTGGAAGGGGGGAAGGAGGGGCAAGGGTCAGTTTTCAAGGGGAACCTCAGCAGGTGCAACTGTTGAAATCCCCATAATAAATATATGATAAGTAAGGGCGTTAGAATGGTGCTTAACGTTCAGTAGCACACAAATATTAGTTGAAAAAGGAATCAAGAAGTGAGAGTACTAACATCTAAGTGCTTACTATAATGCCAGGCACCGTTCTTAGTATTTTACAAAGAACGTGGACATTAAACCTCACAACAACCCCATGAGGTAAGGTGGTGTTATCCCCATTTCACAGATGAGGAAATGGAAGGTCACTGGGGCTAGTAACTTTCCCAAGATAGCACAATTAATCAAAAGGAAAAAAATAAGATTCCATGCCAGGTCAGCTTCTCAAAAGCCTGTACCCTTAACCACAATACCAGATGCCAGAAGAGGCGGTCCGAGGAGGGCTGCCCCTAAGCCAGAGTGAGTCCCCACCTTCTTGACAGCCTGTCAGTGTATGTTTAGAGGAAGAAGCTGGGGAGCCTGGGAGGGCCTCTGACCATGTGGGATTCTCCACCCCAGGGCAGGCCAGAGCTCATGGTGCAGCCTGGGAGAGCAAAGGTTTTGGGGAAGCCCCATGGCCAATGCACTGACCAGAGCCAGGCCCAGGACGGAACCTGGGTCCCACCATCTGGGAGTCCCAGCCACTCTCCCCAGCTGATGCCACAGCCTTAGGCAGCCGCCCCACCACTCCCTCCTTCCCGACAATTCTTTCCTCTACCTCCTGCCCTTCACTTGGGGACAACATCCCTCTCTTCGCCTCCATGTGCGGCCACCATCCTCCCCAATACGTCACTCACACCACTGCTTTCAGCTGCTTAACAGATAGAAGTTAGATCTAAGGAAGAACCTCCCTGCGGGAGACCTCAAAACAAGCTCAAAAAACAGATCAAGGCTCAGCTGCTCTGGTTAAATAGGGGAAGGGTGGGAAGTCTGCCCCAGAAACATCTGTAGAACCCTGGGCCTCAAGGAGCAGGATTTGTAACTCTTTGAAGGAAAGAACAGACAGCTGGGAGGCCCAGCTCTGACTGGCCTTATGACCTTGGGCCAGTCTTCAACCCCTAGGGAAGACAGGTCTCGGGCTGCCCTTCTGCACAAGGAGGGGTCACCACGGGCAGTCACAGCCCTGATGGGCTAGGGAGAGGTGTCAGGGGAGGACGGAGAGCCGTGCTGGGAGGTGGGAGACCTGCTCAAGGCCTAGGCAGGGAAATGATTAACCACTGGCAGCTCAGTCCCAGGCACTCTCAGACCCACCCCTCACCCCCTGCAGACAGGCCCAGCCCAGCCTCACCCGTCACCTGGCCAGCCCCGGGAGGAAAGGACATGGCCACTGACCAGGGCACCCTGCCAACCAGCTCGCCACCGCCCCCATCCCAGAGCTGGAGCATCTGAATGTCTACTTCACGCCAAGGATGGGTGGCAGGCTGGCCCTCCGCTCCCCACCTGGACCCTGCCTGGAGCCACACCGGTCACACCCTCATCACAGGTTGACAGTGACTCACAGCGCTTTCCCTCCTGCCCGCTGAGGCTTGTTGTTCAGCCGGGGAGCAGAGCGGGAGCGGACCTCCGCTCCAGGCGCCTCATCAGAGTGACGGCTGGTACCAGCTGGGTCTGCCCATGGGGCTCTGTGCGGGCTGGGGCTGGCAGGGAGAGCAGGCCAGGGGCTCCTGTGGCAGGACTGGTTCCCCAGGGCGTTCCTGGCACTCACCCTGGGCATCCCGTGGGAACCCGGCCCCACCCCTGCGGCCACATGTCCATCTGAGCAGTGGACAAGCTAAGACCAGACCCAGCTCCCATTTTTAAAGTTCTCATGCTCCAGCTGCCCACCCACCACACACACACACACACACACACACACACACACACACACACCCTATACATATCCAGGCACGCTCTCAGACACAAAATCACATATATCCCACCAGTTGGTGAGCTCCGAATGAAGTAGCGTGTGGTTTGCATTTTTCACCCAATGCACTATACTGAGGTCTTCAATAAACGTTCACACCAAACATACTGAGACTCCTACAGCCCAAACTCAGCAACGTAAGAACCTACTACTCACACAGATATCTCCATACTGCACAGGCCATAAACACGCTCACCCACACATACACCTGCACGCACCCATGTAAGCACACATCCACTGGCACAGATATGCCCTCACCTGGGAGCAAAGACACTCCCACATCAACCCCCAGGCACAATGACCCACGTGCAGAGTCCAAGGTCTGGACCCCCAAGCTCCACCCTCAGCACAGACCTTCCCTGGGGTGTGCCCAACCTCCCGGGCAGCCTAGGTTCCTTTTCCCGGGGCACTGGGTTCCTTCCATTCTCGGGGCGTACCTTATCCCCTCTCTAGAACCCTTGGGCCCCACCACATGGGGGGTTCCTAGGCAACAGTGCTTCAGAGCCTGTGAGGTCCTGAGGGTCTGAGGTGGGCCCCCAGCCCTCGGGAGGATGAGACTGAGACACGAGAGAAGCTGTAGAGCCCTTCTGGAGGGAGACGAAGGAGATCCTAGAACACTGGAGAATGCCTGAAAGCCACCTTAATGGGGAAGGCCTGGGGAGGGTGCTGGTCTGCTCTGCAGAGAGAACCCTGGCCTCGGTATCCAAATGCCCACCTGGGAAGGGCAAAAAGGACAATTTCTACTTGCCTTAACCCTATGGGATCAAAGGAGTAGGAATCCAGCTCTGAGCTACTACACGGGCCTCAGTTTCTTCAAGGGCAAGATGGGGGTAGATGGCAGGGAGAGTGGGGGGTGAAGAGATGAAGATGCTAGTGTGAACACTTCTGAGGGGAGGTGCCCCGTAGCTCCAAGAGGAGTCACCAGGGTCACCAGCCACAGTGAGGGGTGCTGCCTCCAGGACAACCCTCCACCATCCCAGGCTTATCTAACCCTGACAGGATGTCCAGCAGGCAAGGATAAGATACCCAGTGTCCTGACCCTTTGACAGACCAGCCTACAAAAAAAGACTGAAGCACAGAGGGGGACAGCAACTATCTTGAGGTCGCCCAGCCCAGACACCACCCCAAAATGCCACACTCTGAATTTGAGCCTCATTAGTGGGAGGGGGCTCTGTTGCCCAATGGTCTCTATTCCCTGATCCCTGTTCTTCTGACCCTCCAGGGAGAGAGTGCTGTCCCCACCCCTCTTCCCCAAGAGGGGGTGAGGGATACCTCCCCAGGGGCCCACTCTCCTAGTCTCTACCAGAGAAACATGGCAGCGGGGGAGGCCTCTCTCGGAAGGAGGCTTGGCGGTAACTCTTGAACACCTCCCCAGTCCCCCCACATGTTCCCTCCACCCCGCAGGGGGTCATGGCGGGGGGGGGGGGGGGGCCTCTCCAGGCCGGGGACCAGCCTCCCCCAAGCACCCTGTGTGTGGCCTCAGTCCCCGAGAGGAGGAAAGAAAACCGTGGGGGAGCGAGAACATCCGCCCTGCCCTGTCACCTAAGAGCTCCCCACTTTGGCCCCAGTGGCTGCCACCCCCCCCACCCCCAACCCCGCCCGACTACAGCAGCAGCAGCACCCAGGCTCGGAGCCCGGCTCCCGGGGACGGGAAGGGGACCGACGCCGCGGCGGGGAGAGGAGAGCCCGGTGCGGCTCCCCGGGCCGGCCGCGGCGCTCACCTGGACAGCGCGGACCAGTCCTTCCTGCTGACAGCCATGCCGCCGAGCCCGCGGCCGCCGAGTGCGCGTGCAGGGCCGGGCGGCCGCCGCCTCACCTGCGCGCCCCTCCCCCGCCGCCCGGCCCAGGTAAGGTCACATGGCCGCTAATCTCAGCCCGCCCGGCCCGCCGCGCTCGCACCCGCCGCCCCGAGCGGCCCCCGGGGTGTGGGCGGCCCCGCACAAAGCCGCATTGATCTCCGCCCCGGCCGGCCCGACCGCGCGCCTGCGAGCGCCGGCTAGCTGTCCGACCGGCCGCCGGACGGACGGACCGACAGACGCCCAGGCCCGCGCGGGGTCGATCGGCCGCCGGCAGCGAGGGCGGGGGACTTCCTGCTCAGAACCAGTCCGACCAGCTCGGCGCTGAGCCGCCTCCTCTCGCAGGGGCCGGGGTGCCGGGGAGTGGGGCGGCGGGCGGGGACCCGACGAGCGGGGTCGGGCCGAGCTCGCTGCGGGTAAACCGGCTTAGCCCGGAGAAGCCCAAGAGCGGAAGCCGAGCGGGAGAGTTAGAGCAGGTACCGTAACCTCGGGTCCGGCACCCGAGCACCGGCTCCCGGGCCTGCGGCGCCCGCCGCGGCCCTGCGCCCCTAAGAGGCCCCGAGAGATGAGCCGGGCAGTGCTTTCGCTGTGCCGCCAGCAAAACCACAGAACGCGCCCCGTGTAAAGCCAGCCTCCCCCCAGACGAGATTCTTAGATTCAGTTCAGTAAACTTTGGAGAGCCCGCAGTTCGGAAAACACAAGGATGTCAAAGGCACTGTCCTGGCTTTGCTGGTGCTGGTCTTTGGGCTGGAGCGGCGGGGTGTGTAACAGGGCAGAGGAAGCTCAGCTTCTCCCCGGGAAGGAATGAACACGGATCACCGGGACTGGGATGCTGAAGGCCGCGGCCGCTCGGGCACCACCAGCACCACCTGGCTCCCTTAAAGTGTGCAGCTGGGCTGGTGGGTGCCAGGGGCTCTCTATCCAGGAACCAGTCTCGGATGGGCTGAGAGACGGCCAGTCACTGAGCATGGAGACTCTGATCTCCCCTGATGGATCAGAACTGCAAGGTCAGCAGCAGCAGTTCCTGCTCTGAGAGGGATGGGTCGCAGCCCCAGGCACCAGGAGGAGGAGGAGGAGGTGGAGAGGGAGAACTGCCAGCATTCTGGCCTTGCTCCCCAGCCTGGCCTCCCTTTGGCACTGATCCAGGACTGATGGTCTCCACTGTGCCCTCCGGCTCTGAGATCTGACGGTGATGAGCAAGCCAGTTGCTGAGCAGAAGCCTGGGAACACAGACACACAGCTAAGGCATCTCCTTCCCCAAAAGGCCCCCTCCTCCAGGGAGCCTTTCTTCTTGGCCTAGGCGGTGAGGAGTGAGGTTTAAGGAATGATTGCCGGACTGGGAGCCTAGAGATCTGGCTTTGAGCTCGGATTCTGCCATTTAGTAACCATGTGACAGGTGTGTTATTCCCATCTCCACCTCTACCGTCACAAGGAATTCTCCCTGTGTCTCTGTGTCTGCGTCCAAATTCCCCTCTTCTTATACAGACGTCAGTCATTAGATGAGGGCCCACCTCATGGAGTCGTACTGACGTACCTCATTTTAACTTGATTACATCTGCAAAGACCCTAGTTGCCGGTAAGGTCAGGCTCTTGGGTACCAGGGCTTAGGAATTAAACCTATCCTTTTGGGAGCCAGAATTCTACCCACCACAATCAGCCAAGTGGCTTTGACTTCAGGGACACAAAAATGGTAAGGCGTCGGCTCCTGACCTCCAGACCTTCCCACTCTAGCAATGGAGATGCACACCCAAGCCTCATTCCAGACAGACTGATAGAAACTGAAGTTATGTCATCAGGAGGGATTAACTCTAATGGAAGGGATTGGGAAGTCTTAAAGAGGAAAGAACATCGGGGTTGGCCTTTGAAGGTTAAGGGGAATTCAACCATCAGAAATGGCAGCTGAGCATCCAGCTACTGGACACAACATCAACAAAAACAGAGGGGCAAAAGTGGAAGGTGTTTGCGGAGCAGAGAGAAGACTCATGTTCTTGAGGCTTAGAGCACCTTCCTTCCAAGGCTGAAGGGAAAGAGGGGGGACAGATAGTGAGGATCCTGGGTTGTGCTCAGGTGTTACCTTTTCACCATAGAATATGTAGAACTTGAAGGAAAAGGGAGGGTTAATGGCCTTTGAATGGGAAAGGTCATAGACCCCGAAAGACAACTCTGGAGGCAGTATGAGTAGAGGTCAGATTAGAAGTGGGAGGCCATGCTGGGGAGGGTATTTTGTACAGTCCACAAAAGAAATGAAGGAGGCTTGAGCAAGGGCAGCCAAGTAGGGGGAGAGGAGAGGTGTTGGCAAGAGCTTTCGAAGTTCAGTTGTCAAGACTGAGTTGACTGATTGTGGGTGGCAAAGGAGGACAAATCCCTGTGAAGCCCATCTCCCTAGGCTGAGGGGCTGGGTGAAGGCAGGTGCCACTGATGAAACTGGGCTGCAGGAGGAGGAGGAGGTTTCAGGAGGAAGGTGACTTTAGACCACTAGGGGTTCTTTAGCCTCAGCATTATTGACATTTTGGACCTGATCATTCTTTATTGTGAGGACTGTCCATGCATGGTAAGATGGTCAGCAGCATCCCTGGCCTCCACTCATTAGAATGTAGGGTCCGTGGAGACAGCCAGGTGGAGCTGTCCAACAGACGGCTGGCTGTGGGGAGTATGGGTGCTCCAGAGACCCCAGCCGTGAGCTGCAGAGCAGGCAGGAGGAGGGAGGGTTTCCTGAGGACAGGCTGGGGAGAGAGGTGTTAATGTTGAAGATGTCTGTGCCCCTGCGCTAACCCCCTGAGTGTCTTAAGAGCAAATGCCTTATTCGCCTCAGTATGCCCTCAACTCTACGCCTAGTATAGTAGGTGCTCAATAAAGCTTTGGAGAATTGCACTAACTTGCTTTGGGAAGAACAGGAAAACCCAAATCGGCCAAAACCCCTGCTGAGTATAACCTTAGGAGCTGGGTCTGGGAGAAGCTGAGATGGGGAGGCGGGGGGGACTCTAAGCATCCCTTGGCCTCCCGGATATAGCAAAACCAGGATATGGAGCATTAGCATGTCACAGCAAATGTATCAACAGGAGTGAATTTCATCACCTTCACCTCGAAGGGGAAAAAGCAGGAAGCATGCATTTATGTTAGGTTTACCCAAAAAATGCAAAAGTAGACAATATCTTGTTTAGGAATTCATAAATACAGAGCAGCGCTATAAAGAGAACAAAGAGAATAGTAAACACAGAGCTGAGGATTCTGTGGATTCCTCTGTGGAGAGGAAGGGCCTTGGAAAACATTTACAATACCCTCGTTCCTAACATGAGTGGTCGGCACATGGATGTTCATTTTATAACTCTTCAACTGTACGCACGTTAAAAACCACAAGCGTGTGCTGGTCACTTCCTCCAAGGACAATCCACGGAGATAGGGCTTTTCACATGGGGAATTCCCCGGTCAAGGGCAGTTTTCAGGACTTCCCAGCCAGCAGTGGGGGAAGGGGGCCATCTCTCTCCTCCCAGAACTGACGTCAGGCTCTGGAACCCCCACCCCCTACCCTTATCTACATAGCTCATAGGTCGTCCTCTCCTTCTCCAAAGAGGCCAGAGTGGGGATCCAGGGGGATTCCTGGCCCCAGACTAGCAGGTTTGTAAATCACACCCTGACATTTCAGGTTTACTCCCATTCATATATACCCACTGAGCACATGCCATGCCAGACCACTCTAGGGGAAGGCAGAAAACAAATGAGGTAATCACACTCATACCCTCAAAAACCCAGGGCGGTGGTTCCCTGGCTTTGGGTTTTTACTAACGAATAATATGTTTTAAATATGAATACCCTGGGGCGCCTGGGTGGCTCAGTCAGTTAAGCAGCTGCCTTCGGCTCAGGTCATGATCCCAGGGTCCTGGGATGGAGCCCCCCATTGGGCTCCCTGCTCTGCGGGAAGCCTGCTTCTCCCTCCATCTGCCGCTCCTTTAAAAAAATATGTGAATACCCAAATGGTGTTGATACCATTTTATTTTGCAAAGTAAGAACATTAAAAAACAATGACTACCTACCCTGCTCCCACTCCATAAGTAAAGAATATGTTAGTACTAAAATCATAACATTAAGGCATGCATAATTTTAGAACAAAGGAGAGCCCTTGTCACTGAGTACATTACACTTTATGGAAACTTCCACCACAGCAGCCCTCGCTTGCCCATCGTGCAGCCGTTGAAATGTGGGTCACAAAGAGCGAGCGAATCAGGAGGGTTGTGTCTGGGAAGCACCAGTACAAGGGACACACGGGCATCCGCCCCCCCTGGGACAGGCAAGACACTGCCTGCTGTGTGTGCACACACACCAGGCTCACCTTCAGATGGACAGCCGCGAGCATTCACACGCACGCACACACACGCGCGCACACACATCCCCTCCCCCAGGGGCTCCTAGGTTGGAACACCCGGCCCCCAGATGAGGCCATACTTCTCTCTCAGACCTGGAGTAGAGGGCGGGCTCGCCCGGTCTGTGCGGACCAGGGAAGGGGTACTTGCTGGTACTAGGGCCAGATGCGTGCTGGGCCGGCCCAGAGGTGGGCCACCTGCTCAGGTCACTGGACCTCTGCCTCTGGCTGGGATACCAAAACTCTACCCACATCCAGTTTTTTCAGGAGCCTGGGGGTCCAAGGACCCATGTTTTCATCCCAATTATATCTGTGACCTTCAACAAATCACTTGCCCTCTCTGGGCCTGCAGACATTGACCATAGTTCTCTGGTGCCAGGGCCCCGGGGCTACAGGGACTCACTCTTCTCAGCCTCAGGGGACCCACAGGCCAGCTTAGGATTGTGTCTTGGGAGTAAGGGGATACCCTTGTTCCTCAGCTCCAGTGAAGGAGCCTCGGCCGGCAAGCTTCGGGGGTTTTTGAGGCAAGAGCCCCGATGTGGTCAGGAGAGGACCTGCCATCTGCACGGGTCCCAGCAACCTGTCCCAGTTTTCAGTAGCTTGATCACCCACCTGGAATGAAACTGCCCCCCTGGCTGCCCAGCCCAGATCCCTGCGGGGAGTCTGACTCACCTCGTGGGGGGCCTCTGGGGCTAATGTTTAACTCAGCTCCCTTCCTCCGCAGGCCCTTTAGTCCCAGCAGCCCTGGACACTGGGCCTGCCCTGATCGCCCTGCTGGGGGTGGGCTCCAGACAGACAGGGGCCCAGCCTCCCGCCCCCCATGGAGACAGGGACTTCATGGGGAAGGAGAGGCAGCCGCGGGCGTCCTGAGGGCTCTGGGACAGGCAGGGGTGGTAGCAGGGGGCATTCTGCCCTGGTCATTCCTACCAAGGTGGGAGGAGCACCAGATCCATCTCCAGCTGCACAAGAGATACTTACCCAGCTTTGCCACAGGCATCCCCAAAAATCCTCCGTCCCTCCACCCCCAGTTCTGGCCCTGGTGTTGGAGGAAGACCTCTCCTTTGCTCAGTTGGGTGGCATTTGCATCTCATTTGAAGGTTTTCCCTTTCGGTGGGGATATTGGAATTCCTCAGGTGCATATGCAGGGCTCCTGACCCCCAGCTGTGTCCCTTCTGGAAAGTGGTTGGTTGGGTTCCCTGTGGCAGAGAGCCTAGGCTGACCTAGGTTCCAAGTGCTGGTATGCAGCTCTCAAACCCTACAACTCCAGGTGGATGAATTCACCTCTCCCAGCCTCCGGGCCCTCAACCTGCAATCCAAGATAAGAGTATTGGAGTACCTGGGTGGCTCAGTCCATTGAGTGGCTGACTCTTGCTTTCGGCTCAGGCCATGCATGATCTCAGGGTCCTGGGATCGAGCCCCCTCCCCCCCCCCAGTTGGGCTCTGCACTGAGCAGGGAGTCTGCCTGGGGATTCTCTCTCTCTCTCTTTCCCCTCTCCCTCTGCCCCTCCTCCTGCTCTCTCTCTCTCAAATAAATAAATACATCTTTTAAAAAAAGAGCGTCTACTTCTTAGCATTTTGTGAGAATGTAATGATATAATTCTGATAAAGCATTGAGCATCATTTTTATTATTACTAAAATAGTGAGTAAGCATATGGACTCTGACTGCCTGGGTCGAACCTTGGCACCTCCATGCACTTGCTGTGTGACCATGGGAGGGCAGGCGTTAACCTCTCTGTGCCCCTTTCTCAGAGGGGCATCGTGAAGGTGAAATGTGAAGATGTGTAGAGTGGCGCCCGGCATATACTCAATGGGAGGTGTTTTTAGTGGGAGGCCCAGCTCCCAGCTCAGCTCCCCCTGTATCCAGTCCAGTGTTGGCCCTCCGTGGTGAAAGGGAGTAGACTCATGGCTCTCCAGATACCATGCCTCCCACCCAGGCCCTGTTCACAGCTACGACTCTACTAGGAGCCCCCTCCCAGAGGTTGCTCTTCCCCGCAAAGCAGCCCTGTGACAGAGCCTACCTCCTCCCTCACCCACTCAGTTCCCATGGTCTTCACTCTCAGGAAGCGTTTTGCCCCTTTGCCCTTGCTCCGCTCTCCCAGGAGATGGATTGGTTCTAGCCCTGCTGGGAAGAGGGACCAGATGATGACCTCCAGAAAGCCTCCACACGGGCCGGGCCATGGCACTTTCCCAGAGGGCCCTTGCCTTGGGTGTGTTGAGTTGGCCCTGCAGGCTTTCTGCACCCAGGTGTTTGTTTTGAGTCAGGCCTGGGGCTGTTCTCCGGCTTTTGTAGGACAGGGTGGAGACCCCAGTCTGCCAGGGCCCCAGGTTAATAGTTGACTGGCAGAACTGAGATTTGGCTCTGGAACTTGGGGCCAGGCTCTCTCCAAGGGCTGAGCAGAGACAGAGCAAGGAGACCATGCTTTGGACCCAGGCCAGCCGGGAGGAGCTCTGTGAGGCAGGGCAGGGTGGGTTTCTGTGGCTGCCTGGGCATGAAGCCCAACCCCATCCTCTGTGGCGCGGACTGGCCCCATCAGGTTCTCCAGCTTCGCATGTGTGTGTATGAGAGAGACTGGGTGTGTTTGTGCCTAAGGGTTTCTGTGTATGGTAGGAGCTGTTCTCTTTGCACACAACTGCCCTTCTGCCTCCTGGGCTGTTTGTAGCAAGGACCCCGGGTAGAGAGCTGCCTCGCCTACCCCATCCCAAGTTGCTGGTCCCTGCAGGGGCCGATGGGCTGAGCAGCCCTGGGTGCTAGACCCTGCCCCAGGGAGTAGCTGGCACTGCCCTTTGTACCCAGCTTCTCGTATTTATGGCAAATAATACACTGGGAGCAGAGGGCAGAACAGGGAGTCACAGGGCGGGAGGAAGGGGGACTCCTCAGGCAGCTCAGCCTCTCCTGGGACCAGTGCTGACGTGGTTAAAAGTCAAAGGGCCCCGGTTTTGTAGGCTTAGTTCAGGAGTCGCCAGGACACTGCCCTGAGAAGCCAGGCTCTGCTCTTCCCAGAACTTTGGTCTCTGCTCCAGAGAAGCCACTCTCCTCAGTATGTGGGAGGGCAGGGAGGGAGGCTGCCCCTCCCCCCATTCCACCCCAGCAGGCTCGCACCCCTCACTATGCTTTGGGTCCAGGTATCAGTGGGATGGAGGAAGAACCAGACCTAGAGGACAGATCACTGGCCGGCCCACCTCGAGGACAGTGGATCTGGAGGATGTGACCTGGAGGATATGACCAGTCCAGGAGTGTGAAGAGAAAATGACTGGGAGGAGGGTGCATGGGGGTGGAGAGAGCAGGGGTCAGGACAGGAGGCCCCCTGGGGCTGCGATGGGGAAAGGCGCCACCTCGTGGCAAGACATAGAACTGCAAGGTGTCCCCTCCGGCTGGGCCAGGGTGCGGATTAACTCCCGCCCTGTGCCTGTAGGACCAGGTGAGGGCCTGAAAGCACCCTGACCTCTCAGTCCAGAAAAGTCAGGAACATCCAGCAGCCACCAGCGAGAGGTGATCCAGGTTTGCAGAGAAAGGGAACTGTGAAATCAAGCAGGACAAGGGGCTCGAATGGAGAGGCCCATCTTGATGGCTGGAATCATTAGGAGGGGCAGGGGCTATTGCAGAGGGTAGGGCTTCGGTAATCTGAGCATCCTGGGTTGTGAGGGGGTGCTGTGTGATGTCACTGGGACGGAGCAGAATGGGTCCCAGAGGGGCCTTAGCAGACAGCTGCCAATTCCTTAGACCTCCATTCCGACCCTGAGCTCCTGCCTGGAGCCCAGCACACCCATCTCTCCAGACTCCCTGTCTCTTTCTCCTGAGCACTCACAGCCGGAGTTACAGAAATGACCAGGACTCTGGTTTTTAATGGAAAAGCTGTGATACCTGGGGGCACTCTACATGTCACAGAAGTAGTGGAGGGATGTGGCAAGGGGCCAGAGGGAAGGTGCTCTCACACCTCTTCCTCCTGAGCTTGGCTACACCGCGGCTGGCCGGGGTCTCCACCCTGCCAGGATGAGGTCTTCAGACACTGCTCTCTGTCCTCTTGGGTGTCTGTTGAATCCCAGTTCCAGAGGAGGACACTTAGGCTGGAGGGGAGAAGTGGGAACAGGATGGGAGGCTCCAGAAAGGCCGGGTGGGATGCAGAGAGGTAGGTGAGCCAGGTTGGAGGGAGGAGCGCAAACGGAAGCCCAGAGCACAGCGCAGCAAGCCGGCCTGTAGGGACAAAGAGGCAGAAGCCATCTTACCGATTTCCCCGTGGGACATACAGTTCTGGGACTTCTCACCCCTAGCACCCACCCCCTCCACCCTGGGCTGGACCATCATCCAGAGGGGCTCCTATGAAGCCTCAGCCTCTCAGCCCAGGACCCGGGCTCCCTCCCCTCCCCTTTCGGAACCCCTGCCACGGCTGTCCACACTGTGGCTCCTCCACCACGGCTGGTTAAGTCCCACCTCAGCCTTACAACGCACACACCCTTCTCCTGTATCTGCTAACACTTGCCCATCTCTTCCTCCTGTACCAGGGCTACGCGCCAGACCCCTGTCCTGTTGCACAGCCCCTCAGCACTCCCGTGGGGCTTTTATGCAGCCTCGCTTTGCTGCTTTCTCCAGCAATTTCCTCAGAGAAGGGCTGGTCTTGTCTTCTCTGAATAGAACCCCCTGGGACCAGGGACTCTGAGTTTGGGGTACTTTACCAGGAGGTGTTTTTAAAAGCTTAGACTTTGAGAAAGTCAGAGCTGGAGGGCCTTCAGGGATCATCCAACCCAGTGGCTCTCAAGGTCTTGCGGGAGAATCACCCGGAGGGCTGTCCCCGCCCTGCCCCCCACCCCCCCGAGTTGCCGATTCAAGGGCTCACGGGTCAAGCCAGATCATTTGCTGGTGGAACTGATACTCCTGGACCGAGGACCACACTTGGAGAACACTGATCTGATACAACCTCCAGTTTTACAGACGAGGGGAACAAAAAGTGTCCCAAAGCAGAAATGATGTGCCCAAGGTCTCCAGGGGCTGGAGCCAGGACCAAGCTGACCAGAGCTGACCCCCATCAATGCACCACACTGGGCCTGACCCACCAGCCATCATCCTGGAGCCCCTATTATCTGTTAGATTCTGGTGGGCCCCAGAAAAAGGGAGCTGGTCTCTAGGTACCTCTACTGTGAGGTTGGAGACTTGGCAGCATCAAACATCTTCTTCCGGCCTTCCATCCCAGACATGGCCTCCACGTTCTTCCTCCAGTCACCCACCTCCACGGGCCGTTCCTATTGGGGGGCCACACACACACACACACGCACATGTCAGAGACCGAGCAGGCTGGAGGGCAGCGGGGGGCCCTCCAGGCACAAGAGCAACTAGGTGAGGGGAAAGTCAGCCTCTTCGAAAAGAGGGAATCCCAACACCCCTGCCCAACTGGGGAGGTCCAAGGACACATTTGGGGTAGACACGGGAAAGCTAAGGCTCCACTAGAAGAAGGAAGCTGTGTCGGCTGGGAGTTCTGGATGATCACAGTGGGATGCCGGGGCCAGTTCCCACCCCAGTGAACCACAGCCCAGCCTTGCCTCCAGACCCACGCCAACCTCCTGGTCTGGTGCTCAAGGCCACCTCTTCTAAGAAGCCTACCTCCTCCCTAAACTGGCTCGTTTTCCATTTTACCCGCATACTACCTGCCATCTCTTCTCTTTATGAAGTTCTCTGGGCCAGAGACCACGTCTTTCATTCATGTTCCTTCTAGAGCCCATCCATTCTGAGCACATATATTGAGTTCAATCAGCTTTGAGTGATTTGTTGCTGAATGAGTGATTGAACTCAGTTCTCTAATGTCTGTGCTCGTGTGTCCTATGACCACAATGACCTGCTGTCTTCTTTTCCCCAGTAGTGACAGAAGGCACTATCCCCCTGGTCACCCCAACTCTACATTCTCTTCACACTGGGTGCAGTTTCTGCTTTATTGCTTGGTCTGGCTTCCTCTAGGTCCCGGTTTCCTTCTCAGATTGAGAGCAGCCTGAGGGAAGGGAGCAAGTCTTCTTTCTCCCAAGACAGAATCACAAGACTTCATCACTGGTCTCCCAGAGGGTTCTAGAATGTTCTAGCAGTCTGTCTGGCCTCCAACAGGAGCCCCTGCCTGAGGCTATGTGACAGAGAGACAGGTGATAGGACAGGGGTGAAAGGTTCTGAGAAGAGGGGTCCTCACCTTCTCTGTGTCTTCCTTCTTCACTGACTTCAGGTTGGCCCGCAGATCCATAGACACCTTGTGCTTGGAGCCCAGTAGAGCCCGGAGCATGGCGTCAGCTGAGACCCGGACCCGACGCAGTGGTGGACGCTTGAATTTCCCACGGAGGTCCAGCACCTTCAGCTTCAGGTCCTTAATCTGCAGGTGAGAAGGAGCAGGGGCTCACGGGAGAGGCAGCACCCCCAGAGCACCCTTCCTGAGGATCTCAGACTTCTAGGGTCCCAGCCAAAGCTACACCCCACATTCATTCTCCAGCTTCCAGGCCAGACCCTCTGGGACACTCAGACCCCCCCATCACTTTCAGAATAGCCACAACGTGTTTGTTGATAAACGAATGAATGAGTAAACGGACAGATAAAGCCCATTAGCCACCTCTGTCATGGTTACGTGAGGAGATGGGGCAGCCCCACCAAACTCAGCACAAGTCTGGTTTGAAAGCCCTCTTTGGAGTGTGGGCTGCTTCCTCCTATTCCTGGGGCCCCATTCCTGCTTCTAACTAGTCCCTCCCCGTGAGCCTTCAAAGCAGTTCATTGAGAGCACAGCCTAAGTCCAGTGGGGTGGATCAAATTTCTAGGGTGCTATCTCTGGAGGGAATTCTGGGAAGATTCATGATGCCACAAATCATCATTCCTTCCGGGGAGAAATGGGAAGGAACAGAGTGGTCTCTGATCCCGCCCCCTCCCCTCCTCCCTGCTTGAACAAGCACCCAGGAGCAGCCCACGAGAGCAGCAGGGGTTCTGCCCTCCACGTTCTGCCCCACCACATGGGAGCAGGGTCAGCTCGCCGAGGGAGCGCTGAGCACCGCAGTGGGGGGCAGCGACCAGCCCTGCTCCCACAACCACCACTGTGCGACCCGGACCAAAGTTCTCAGCCTCTCTGAACTTCAGCATCCCCCTTTGTAAAGTGCAGGTAATAGCACCTCCTTTATCCACACGCGTGTAGGGAGGATCAAAGGATGCAATGCACATGAAAGCCATTCACAAAGGGAAGATGTTATTAACTAGCATGTGATTGTTTGTGTGGGTGAACAAAGAGGTGAAGAGCCCCTGTGGCAGGTTGAGAGGAAGTTTGTGTTTTTCATCTGTGTGGTTATCCTCTCTCTGCCCATCTCCAGCCCCATGGGGCTGGAGTGGAGGGACCAGAGCTTCCCAAGTGGCCACTTGTGAAACCCTGCAGAAGGAGGGTGCCCACGTCCCGGCCCCCCCGCCCATCGCCCCACCATGCACCTAGCCTGTGCTAGCCGTGCCCTCCCCTCCTGCCAGCTCACCTCCCTGGTGTTGTGGAGGCATTTGGCCTCAATGTCGTATCTCTCCTCATCCACCACCTCCACCTTGGCGTGCAGGTCCCGGCACAGGTCCTGGGGGAAGCCAGGTTAATCAGGCAGGAACAGAAAAGAGGAGAGAGGAGTCGTCTGGACCGCAGCCTCCCTTTCCTGCCTCTTTGCCCAGTGCCTTTGCAAAACCTGCATTCTGGAAAGGAGCTGATACACCCCTTCTCTCTGAGGTTCATGGCTGCTGATAGCTCCCTGCATAAGCCCTTTGTTTTCCTTTCGGAATGTCATTGTTTTCTTTAAAAAGTTTTCTTACGATAAAAATAATATAAGCGAGTTGCAGAAAATGTGAAAGCTAGGTATGAAACAAAAAGAATAAACTACAAATAACAAGTGATGCCACCAGTGGGAGGTGACCCCTGGTGACATTTTGGTGTATTTCTTTCCAGTCTCTTTTCTCTGCAGTTGCTGGCATTGAAACAGTTATCAGTGTTTTTCAAACATTAAAAACCTATTTGTAGGGAAAGGATAGACAAGTCCTGAGGCTCCCTCCCCGCACTTGCGAAATGGAATCTACCAGCACCACCTCCCAGGGGCCTATGCGGTGACATGGGACCATGTAAGGGAAGAGCCCCTTGAAAAGGAACAGAGCCCAGAGCTCTGGTATTAGTGCAGGCTCCTGCCACCCAGGCCCTGGGGTCAGCCCCACAGACTCACCTGCAGGGCACTGAGGGACAGGCCGCGGGTCTGCAGCGTGGGGATGCGCTCGGCCAGGTAGCGCACCTTCTCAGCCTCCCGCTCCTCGTGCTCCTGCTCCCAGCACTCCTTGGCCTTGGCCAGCATCAGGCTCTGGACAGGACAGAGCCTGCTGAGCCAGGAGCCCAGGGCTCTCGTGCTCCCCACCCAGCATCAGGGCATGAGGGGAGGAGGACCCCGGGCTGGAGCCGGCTCTTGCTGCTGGCCCTACAAGCAACAAGTCCTCTCGCACTGGTCAGGGCCCCGACCAGGCAGCCCTGGGAGCGTGTGAATGAGCCGGTCCCGAGGCCTGCAGATGTGTGTGCTGCCTATAGGCAGGGCCAGGGAAGAACAAACACTGAGCCACCACACACAGCATCTCTCGGACCCTGGAGCTGTTTTCCCTCACAGTCCTCCTCGTGCCCACTTCGGGCGTGTTTTGGCCCACAGAGCTCCAAAGAGAGAAACTCTGGCCAAGATAAAGCAAGGCCCTCCGGCCGCCACCAGTGGATTACCACCCTGAAGCTGGTCACTGCCTCCCCTCAAGAACCCGGGCAGGAGCCAGGTCTCCCTAGTTTCAGGTTTCCACTCGCTGACCACCCGGCTCCAGGCAATGGCCAGCCTCCCTCATCATCATCCTCACTTAGGCCTCCTTCGTCTTCACCCTCCCCCGACCCTCCACACCCCCGCAGAGTCTGCACCGCATCCCCTCTGTCTCCCACTGGATGTCCCCCCAGAGCCAGCCCAAAGCCTCACCTTCAGCAAGAGTTTGCGGGAGGCCGTGATCTTGGGCTTTCTCTGAGGGTGAGAAGGGGAGAGACAGGTGGTGAGATAGAGGTGGCAGAACTGAAAATCTGGTCTAGGCCAGCATGCGTGCCTGCCAGGTTCACCATGATTACCCAGAATCCTCGCCATAGGGTCCCTTAAAAGGCCCCTCATCTTTGTGATTTAACCCCTCAAATTCAAGGAATGCTGTAGTCAGTGACCTTGACCCTGACCTAGAGGCTGAAGCCCTCACTTTCGATCCTGCTTCTAGTGCTGGTGGGATCCTGTGTGGGTCATGTGACCTCTGTGGGCACCTCCTTCCTCATCTATAAATAAGGATGCTGAGACCCACCTTCCTCAGTTCACAGAATTATTACAGACAGAATGACATCATGGACGTGCAAATCCTTTGAAAAGCATGAAACAGATGCACCTGCTTAGCGCTCTGGATAGTAATATACCAATACGTTGATGATCTGTCGTGTCCAGAAACAAGCTGTGAATTTCACACATCAAGAAGTGTATCTTTTTAGACATCACAACTTTTTTTAATGTCAACACCATCCATATTAATCTTTCTCAGCTATAAAAATATTGTTTTCTCTTCTTATTAAAAATACTTGATATATTTTTGCCAACTAGGTATGTTCTAATAAGTCTTAGCTTGCGGCAGCATCCCCCCAACTCCAGGGGAGGTGACGGTAAGGAGGGCTGTTCAACCTCTAACTAATGAGGTTGTGAGGCTTTCTGAGCACTTGTATCTCTTCTTGACCATAGGTCGTCGATTGTGGTTGCTGCCAGAGAGCGGCTATCTACTAGTACTGTGCTGTGTGCTGGGAGAGCAGAAGTGAGCAGGCTTTAAGGGAGAAAAGGGGCTTCATATTTTATGGATGGAATGTGTGACTTCTAACCTGACTGTTCAGAATGGTTTGTCTGTCCTTTCCTCTCCTAAAGCGAAGGCTGGGCTACATTTCAGGTTAGTGTGCTTGTGGGAGAAATGGCCTGTTGCTATGGTCATCGCCACTCACAGTTTACACCCTGTCATGTACCCATGGCAAATGTTTCTTTGCAATGTTGTTTCCCCACCACCTGGTGAGCCTCTAGGCCGTCTCGTTTGACCATCGATCAGTGGCGACTCACTTTAATATGAGCCTCAGCAAAACTGAGGAATTCATATGGTTATTGAAAAATGGTGTATGTGATTCTGAGAATCTCTGTGCCAAATGTCCCCTCCATCAGTGCTGCTAATTCCCACCCTTGCCAGTTCAGAGCCCGATCCCTGAGGTTCCTAACCCTGCACTGGACACACGCTGTGTTCTCAGTACTGTTTCAGGGTCAGAGTTATCTAAGACCTGAGGGGAGTGTAAGGACACCTCTTTGCTCCTCTCTCAATGTTTGGTCATTGGGCAGGGGTAGAATAACCCAATGATGATCCTTTGTTACTGGACTGACTCTGCAAAAAAACAGGATGGTCCCTCAGGGTTAGACAAGTGAGCAAGAATGGGTGAGATACCCCACATCCCACTTACCTCGCTTCAGGCATCCACCACAGGAAAGACAGGAGGAGAGAGCAAAAGACAGAGTGTGAACAATTCATATGACATATGCAACAGCAGGACCATGTGGATGAGCCCGGGCAGGGGCGGTGTGGTGACAACCATACACCAGAAGGACATCAGGCATCAGGCAGGGGGACCAGCTCAAGGGTTCCAGCAGAACAGAATAAAACTCCAGTGGCCCTCTGGGCTACTGGAGGTTCTTGCTGGAGATGCTGGCCGTTGTAAGTTGGGGAGGAGTGCTGGAGATTCCGGGAAGCCTCAACATAGGGTTCCAGCATGGGAAAGCTCCCGTCCCTGGCCTTGTGGGCAAGTTCCCAAAGCTTTGTTCATCTGTTGGGCCGAAGCAGAACCATGGCCTGGCACACACAATTCATCTGGCCTGCGCAGAGAAAAACTCTGTAAGAGGCCACAAAGGTCTTCCCCAGGGAGCCTGGAGCATGGGTTCTGCTCAAAGACTAGGAGGACACGTGGTGGCACAGGGGACCTAGGTACTCAGGATTGTTCCTTCTGTTAAAACCTGTTCTCCTGGGAAGTTGCTTCAGGGCTTGGACAGATGGTGCCTCCCCTAGAGGACTGAAATCTGCAGCAAAGGGCCTGGCTTCCTCCGAGTCCGAGAGAGGGACGGGGCTACTTACACTTCAGGCATGGTGGTGGTCGGGGGGCAGCACCTGGAGGCACAAAGCAAGCGTCAATGTGGGAAAGCTGTAACTCCTGCCTCCCAACCCAGCTGGGCCTTGGGACTGTGTCAGCGCCCAGCCTGGGAGAGCCGGACAACAGGAAGAAGAAATCAGACAGAATGGATTCCAACAGGTCGGGATGGGATAAATATTTGTGCATTGATACTCTCTTTTTTTCATTTATTCACTCATTCATTCATTCACTCATTCGCTCACAAGAGAGAGAAATCTTAGAAAAGCAAAGAAACAATATAAGCACTGTAAGTGGCTCTATTGGACAGGTATGTAGGGTGGGATCTGCAAACTACAGCCCCCAGGCCAAATCTGCACACCCCCCCCTTTTGTTGCTTAAAGCGTTGTAAAATAAGGAATATGCAACAGAACGTTATGTGACCTGCAAAGCCTAAAACATTTACTATCAAGCTCTTTCCAGCAAGGTTTGCCAACCCTCATGGGGAACAGAATGGAATCCATAGAAATCTATTTGAAAAGTGAGGTCATGGGGCCCTCCACAACAGGCTGAGTTTAGAGTCTCTCCTGTGGACAAGGGTGAAGTTCTCAGAGAGAGGAGAATCTGAAAGTGGAGTGGCACAGAGCAAAGATGAAATGCAGGTAACTGCCATATGGCACAACTCCAGGGGGCGCTATTCCCATGCTGAGCCATGTCCTTGTGCCAGGGGTGCCGTTCACATGGACGGCAGTGTGAGGGGCAGCCCTGGGGTGGGGCGGGGAGGAGGCCCTGCACGGAGGGGCTGAAGCCAGCAGGTGAGGCAAATCCTGCCTTCTACTCTCATCTTCATCCTGACCCTCTCCAGGCCAGTTTTCTTCTCTGCAAAAATCGAGGTGAGATAAATTGTCGTCCACTTAAAAAAGCTCTTAAGCCTTTTGTTCAAACCAAATTTTACTTGGAAGCAAAACAAATTCAGGCAATCCGAGCAAACGGCACAGGCTGAAGGGGGTACGTAGGAGCCCGTGGCCCTCTGTGAGGACCCCGGGCTGTGGAGCACAGTTTGAAGTCCCCTGACTGTGTTGTCCTGGGGCTCCCTTTAGTCCCGACAATTGGGGGACCCAGGCCAAGAAGGGGGTCCTCGAGGCAGCAGAGGGGGATACTCCAAAGCCAGACCCAACTCACCAACTTGCCTGGGCCTGGACAAAGCATTCTAATAGAGGGTGGGGATTGTGCAAAAGATCAGGGGAAGAAGGACAACTCTGGTGGGAGCAAGTGTGCGAGGCAGGACAGGAATCTGGAGCTGGGTTGTGTGCATTTGGCGGGGCGGGGGGGGGGGTGGGGCGGGACATGGAGCACAGGATCAGGAGTTTGAATTTGGCCCAGGAACCTGGTTTGGTACAGGGGAGGGCAGAATCCAAAGGACAATTGTAAAGTGGCTACCAGTCATTTCATTCCAGAGCCACCTCCTGTCTCTGCCTTAATTCTCTCCTTTCCCTATGTGCCCGTGAAGCCTCCTCCCCCAGCCCATGAGTGGGGCTCGGCCACCTGTCCTGAATCTCCCCCCAACGGTCAGAAAGCCCTCTGGGCCTCCCACCTCTGCCTCTGCCACCTAGGGAGGGTGAGGCCTGGGGCGGAGGAGGGGGAAAGGGAGTGTGACCCCAGAGTCTCAGCTGTCACCCCGAGGCACAGAGGGAGAGGTAGGATCCAATCCATAAATTCCCCAGATATTTGGCTGAAATTAGATTTTATCACCAGCTGTTTATTCTGAGGGCTCCACTCCTCGGACGACTAGCAAGGCAGTCCAAAGAGAAACACTAGCCAGTGAAGAAACACCTCCAGGTCCGTCTGTCTGTCATCACTGCCCAGCCATGATGCCAGTCCCCAGGGGGCAACAGGTCTCAGCTGAGTGGGGATGTGCCTCACCCTTGGCAGGCATTTGGCCATGGTCACACCTCCCTCAGAGAGCCCACTGTCACCAGCATGGGGCCCTACTGGCCCAGGCCAGCCTTGGCCTCCTGCCAAGCTGCAGGGCCTGCCCGCCAGCTTGCCCCCCTGACAAATGCCAGGCCCAGGGGTCCCCAGCCTGTGCTTTGATACCCACCAGATGGGACCCCTTGACAGGTCCTGTGGAAGACAAGCAGAAACCTGATAAGAAGTCAGGATGCAGATAGCAAATGTGAGGTTGGAGGGCCGGCATTCCATCTCCCCCACAAGTAGCAAGTGAGGAGACAGAAAATCCACCCCTGGAGGGAGGGAGTGAAGGATGACCAGGGGTTGACTCAGAGCTAGGCTTTCTCTTCCCTGAGGCCCCGCGGGGTGGACCGGGAATATCAACTAGACTGGGAGACTGAGGCTGAGCGTATGAGTGTCTGTGTGTAATTGAGTGTGTGGGGGGGGGGGTGAGGGTGTGTCTATAGGGCCAGGAACTGATCTTTTTGCACACCTGATAATCAGGGACACAAATTTCTGGTTAGGCTCATGTTCTTCCCTCTGCTCCCCACCCCCTGACCTTGGACCCTAGTTCAAGGGCATCCCAGTCCTCTTTGACTGATCATTAGCAAGCACTGTACTCCTACACCCCCCACACCCCTGTCTTGAGCTCTTAGCAGGAAAGCCTAACCTCAGAACCGCTGTGGGACGATCTCCCAAACCCAGTGCCTGGTGCTGCCTTTAGCCCCCACCCCACCCCCAGCCATGGATCCCAATATAGAAGGTCCCCTCTGTTTTGCATTCAGAGACTCTCATGCCCCAACCCCAAATGCTGTCACCATCAACCTTCCCTCTAAAGGCCCCCCACCAACTACTTTCTACTCCTCAGAGCCAGGAGCGGTGGACAGCGGGGTTGGCAGTCTGCCCTCACCCACTCTTGCCCTGCTATACAGATGGGCGTGCAAGGGGAGCCAAGCACGCCCCTCGGAGACCAAGAACAAAGAGGCAAGATGGTTTCCTCAGTCCGCAGGGGCTGGGATCTGGTCTACTAGGCTCCCCCCAAGTCCCACACACCAGAGCACCTTCTTTGTCCTCTGCTGCAGCCATCGCCCACTTTAATTGCTCACCAGGCTCTTCCTAAACTTCCCAACGCAGCTCCGCCGCCCCCGCTCTCTGATTCCCAATGCCACCCCCTGCCTCTAGGCGCCGTCTCCCTCCGGGACCTACTGGGCAGCCTGGTGTATAACATAATCCCCAGGCTCTACCCCGGGGCCCCTTGAGCAGCCTGGGCGTAAATTCTGCTCCTGGCTCTTAGCCTGAAAATGGGCAGTGGGGATTTTACCTCCAGTAACAGTTTTGCAGGAGAGAGGTCATTCCACAGGATAAAACACTGTGGGAGCATCTTAGAACTGTTCCCTCAGCCAACCCAAAGGTACAGGCCATGCATGATACAGGTCTTCTTCCATCTCCACGCCCTGGTTGTCTCCTCTAACTCAAGCCCCAGTTTCTTTCTCAGGGCTCAACCTAGATCCAAAGTCCTGGGCTGCAGACACTTACCTCGTTCAGGCTCTGTGAGCTGGGCTGGCCTGTGTCTCGCTGTGGACCGCAGACTGTGAGGGGCAGGCAGAGGGGAGGCTATGAAAACTATGGGCCACAGCAACTGGCCAGTAAAAATAGAACAGGCCCGCTGCTCCTCCCCCCCCCCCCCCCCCACAGAGCAGACACACGCTGACACACAGCAGGCATGCCCTGAAGACACGTGTGTCCAGGCTCAGGGGGACACACACATCCTGTGCACACAGAGGCCACCGACTGAGTCAAACCAGCACCCACCTAGGGGGTCGCAAGCCAAAGAAGGGAGAGAATGAGCAGCCAGACCAGATGAGGCACTGAGCAGCGACGGGCCCAGGGCAGAGCCCAGGGCTCTGGCTGGGGTGGGGAGGGGGGGGGGAGGGGGGCACTGGGAGGCCTGGGGGTGCCCAGCAGGGGCTGGGGGCAGGAAAACTGTCTCTCGGACCTACATCTCTCACAAGGAACTGTGGAAATCAGACTCCTGAGCCCATGTTCCAAAAGCCTAAGAGGAATAGAGACTGGATTTGGGGGCTCTCATGCGACTCTGGTACACGTGCCCTAGGAGGATACCTGGGCTTGGGGGTGACGTCAACAGCGCTGCAGGCTGACTCCAGGGAGTGATCTGGGGCTGAGCTGAGGTGCTGGTAGCTGTAGCGTCCACCTTTATGCTCAGGGAGGTCTGAGGGTCTGTGGATGCTCTGTACCCCCCTCCAAGTAGGTTTCCGGGAATCTAGGTTTCCCGGGTTCCAAATGGCACCCCACATCCCATGCCTGGAACTCAGTGAGACTAACTCACCTTCTCCCCTGTCCTACCCTCTGTCTCCAGCCAGAATCCAGGGGGCTGGTGGGGTGGAGGCTGCACCTGTT